CCGGCCTGGCCCAGGCGGCCCAGACAGGTTGTGGAGTCTCCTTCTCTGCAGACATTCAAAACCCGCCTGGACGCCTTCCTGTGTAACCTCATCTGGGTGTTCCTGCTCCGGCAGGGGGATTGGACTGGATGAGCTTTGGAGGTCCCTTCCAATCCCTAACGGTCTGGGATTCTGTGAAACCCTTCCCAAAAATGATGCAGTGACTGGGAGTTTGGTTTCCTAAACAGCAGCTACAGCTGAACAAGGTACTGCCGTGCATATTTCATATGACAGTGTTCTGTAAATACCCCCATAACGCCAGTTTAGGCTGGAAATGGCCCTTAAGACCATCGAGTCCGAGCGCGGAGCCGTGGCCGTGCCTTTCTCCAAGTGATGGCTGTGCCATGGTGGTTCCTCGGTGCTTGTACCTTGACCCCCCTTTCGCTCATCGGTTTTCTGAGCTTGTTCCTAAGTGTAGGGTCCCAGGCAGTCGTTGTTCTGGGTGTTCACGGAGCAGCATCCTGTAGGCATTGCTAAACAAGGGCAGGGCCACGTGCAGGGGCCGACGGCCTGGCGCTTCCTTACCCATTGGGTTCCTCTTTCTAAATGAGAACCCTTCTTGCTGACCGAAAGGGGAACCAGCCTTGCAAAATGTTCCCGGCGCAAAATAAGGGGGGGGATTTAAGTAATTCTGGGTGGATTTTAATTTTTTTTAATTATTTTTTTAAAACTCCCTGCAGTATTTGCAGTGTTTTCCATCTCAGACACCGTGTTCTGGTAAACACGCTTTTGTTTCTATAGCACCCTTTATGGATATTAAGTTCCAAGGGACTCTTGTCACTGCTGAGCAAACTTTAAAGACCCTTCAACTGGATTGAAACTCATAAGAAGCAGTGGCGTTGTCGCTCTCTGAGCCTTGTCCCCATGGGTGGCTCGGGAAGGGGAACATATGGGGCTCCTCCATGGGTTCCTCTGCTGTGGCTCTGCCCCAAGAGCAGAGCCCTTGAGGTTGCAGCAGTTTTCCCTGCATCCACGCTCAACCACAGAGACGTTTGCAGTGGTAGAGTCCCAATGCGGCTGCGGGGAAGGCTGCCACTCAGTCTGGGATGGTACCCGTGCCTTCAGTCCAGGCTGCAGCATTAATTAAATTAAATTAAATTTAAAAAGGAGAGAAGGAAACAGCCACATGTTGTCATTGCGCAATGCTCTGTTTGGGGCTGTTCTTGTGGGATGCCAGCTTTCCCATCACCCGGTTGTGCAACTCCGCTTCATCAAAGGGGAAGGCGGCACCAGCCATGGAGAAAGGGCTGGAACAGAGCTTGGGAAAGGGCAAGGCAGGGGAGAGACGGCTCCGGCTGCCCCCAGGGCTCGTGTTGAGGTTTGCCGGCCGGCGCCGTGACCCCACAAACTGAATCATGGCCTTGTGCTGGCCCTGGGAGCACGGCGAGCGCCTCCAGCGTGGCTGGAGCCAGCGGTGCTTGGCTACCAACCAGGGCAAGTGGCAACCGACTGCCTTCAGCGATGGGAATCTGCTGCCATGTCTCCATCAGGGACCACGCCAAGGCATCCTTGGTGTCAGGGGATGCTCAAGGGGCTCTGCATTTTTGGTGGCTTCTTGAGGAGTAACGCTGGCTTTGCCTGTATTTGAGCAGTTTCTTCCCGGTTTACATGGTCCAAACTGGAATGAGCAGCTGAGATGGTGCTGGGAGTCAGAGCCAAATGCCGTTCAGTTCACTGAAAAGGGGAGATTTAGGTTGGATATGAGGAAAAAACTTCACCATGAGGGTGGTAGATCACTGGCACAGGTTGCCCACAAGCCCCATCCCTGGAGATATTCAAGGCCAGGCTTGATGGGGCTGTGAGCAACCGGATCTGGTACCAACATCCCTGCTCACTGCAGGGTTGGACTGGAGGAGCTGTAAAGGTCCCTTCCAACCCAAACCATTCTGTGATCCTACGAAATGTGGCTTGGGTTAGGTCCAGAGGATTATTTCATTGCTTTTTAGCCCCCCCTGTTCCTTGCGTGAGAAGGGGTGTTGCTTCCTCCAGCTGTTGAAGTGTTAATGAGAAAATAAAAATAAATAAAAGTATTTTTTTAAATATTGACTTAATTTTTAAGTGGCCTAAACGAGACTTTATACCTAAATTATTCCCGTTGGGTGGTGGTGGTCTCGGCA